ACTGCAGCAACTCACCAAAAGCAAATAATAACCCAACAAAAAGCCGCAGTAAGAATCACTAAATCCCATCCCTGGCAACACCCCCCCCTACTCTTCATAGATATAAACTTACTCCCTGTTCAGTACATCCACACTTACTATTGTGCAATCTACATCTACAGGACCTTAAATTCCAATATTAACCTTGACCTAAAATGCTTTCTTTATAGTTGTGACAGAACCCACAGGCATAACACCAGACACAAACATCTCTATGACATTCCCCATGTCCGACTAAACCTTTACAAAAATTCAATGTATGTCAAAGGCCCTAAAATCTGGAACACCCTCCCTGAAATTCTAGCACTGCAGACACATTCATCACCTTCAAAACTACCATTAGAAAACATCTTATCTCCCTGATACACCCTGTCAACTAATTACATGAATACCACCTGGTGGTTCACACTTACACTCACTCACCCACTTGACCATAAACACAGAAATATCAATCTTAATCTTAAAATAATGAATCCTAACTAGTCATAAGTTGGCCTGTGATACTCCAATCCTGAAACTATGTATTGTGCAAAAACAAAAGCATTCACATTGCTAAACTCACAAACTAGTATTTAGTCATTTAGCCATAATACCAACTTACCACATAATTTGTAATATTTTAAAGTTAAGAATTAATCTAAGTCTGCCCGAAATGCCTAGCCATGCTAGGTGTTCTAGTGGCCCACTCTGTAATTAGTATTTTAAACATGTAAACCACACAATATCCAAATTCTGTAAACTCAGCATTGTAATCCTTATAGAGAAAAGCTTGATTTGATTTGATACCTAAGTCACATACTATTGTCTAGAAATATATACAGTGGACCCCCGGTTCGCGATGCTATCGGTATCCGATAAATTCGGTATGCGATGCATTATATCGCAAAAAATTTGCCTCGGTTCCCGTTACAAAACCCAGTATACGCGTTTCGTCTGAGATGTGTCCATGTGTGGCATGAACTGCCCCGTGTGTGCCAGTGTTTACAAGCCAGCCAGTGTGCTCGCATCTAAGGATATATTCGGTACATTCCATATTATCACAGTGTTTTTGGTGCTTATTTCTGCAAAATAAGTCACCATGGGCCCCAAGAAAGCTTCTAGTGCCAACCCTTCGAGACCAAGGGTGCTAATGACTATTGAAATGAAGAAAGAGATAATTGCAAAGTACAAAAGGGGAGGGCGTGTGTCAGAGCTGCCCAAGTTGTATACAAAACCCCAATCAACCATCTCTACTATAGTGACCAGGAAAACGGCAATCAAGGAAGCTGTTGTTGTAAAAGGTGCAACTGTGATTACGAAACAGCGACCGCAAGTGTTAGAAAATGTTGAGAGACTGTTATTGGTGTGGATAAATGAAAAAGAGATAGCAGGAGATAGCATCTCTCAAGCAATCATTTGTGAAAAGGCTAGGCAGTTGCATGACGATTTGGTAAAGAAATTGCCTGCAACTAGTGTTGATGCGAGTGAATTTAAGGCCAGCAAAGGTTGGTTTGAAAGATTTAAGAATCGTAGTGGCATACATAGTGTGATTAGGCATGGTGAGGCTGCCAGTTCAGACCAAAAAGCAGCTGAAAAACATGTGAAGGAATTCAAGGATTACTTAGACAGTGAAGACTTGAAACCTGAACAAGTGTTTAATTAATTGCAACGAAGCAGGCCTGTTTTGGAAGAAATTGCCAAGCAGGACCTACATTACTCAGGAGGAAAAGGCACTCCCAGGACATAAGCCTATGAAAAACAGGCTTACTCTTCTCATGTGTGCCAATGCTAGTGGTGATTGCAAAGTGAAGCCTTTATTGGTGTATCACTTAGAAACTCCCAGAGCGTTCAGGCCAAAGAATATCCTCAAGGCTAATTTGTGTGTGCTGTGGAGGGCAAACAGTAAGGCATGGGTCACTAGGGTCTTTTTCTATGACTGGTTACACCATGCATTTGCCCCCACTAATACCACCCCTGTCCTGCAGCCTATGGACCAGCAGGTCATTTCCAACTTCAAGAAACTGTACACAAAAGCTATGTTTGAAAGGTGCTTTGAAGTGACCACAGACACTCTATTGACTCTAAAGGAGTTCTGGAAGGATCACTTTAATATCCTCAATTGTGTAAACCTTATAGGTAAGGCTTGGGAGGGAATGACTAAGAGGACCTTGAACTCTGCCTGGAAAAAACTGTGGCCAGAATGTGTAGAATAAAAGGGATTTCGAAGGGTTTGAGGCTAACCCTGAGAAGCCTATGCCAGTTGAGGAATCCATTGTGGCATTGGGGAAGTCCTTGGGGTTGGAGGTTAGTGGGGAGGATGTGGAAGAGTTGATGGAGGAGGACAATGATGAACTAACCACTGATTAGCTGCTAGATCATCTTCAACAGCAAGAGGCCAGACCTGAGGCAACTGCTTCGGAGGAGGGGATAGAGAAAGTGAAGAAGTTGCCTACTTCAAAGATTAGGGAAATGTGTGCAAAGTGGCTTGAAGCGCAAAGCTTTTTTGATGAAAATCGCCCTCAGACAGCTACTGAAAGCCGTGTTGGCAACCTGTACAATGACACTGTTGTGAACCACTTTAGGAAAGTCATAAAGGAACGAGAGGTACAGGCCTCTATGGACAGATATGTTGTGCGACAGAAGTCCAGTGACTCTCAAGCTGGTCCTAGTGGCATTAAAAGAAGAAGGGAACTAACCCCGGAAAAGGACTTGACACCTGAAGTCCTAATGGAGGGGGATTCCCCTTCTAAACAATAGGTTCAACACACTCCCCTCCTCCCGTCCCATCAATCATCACCAGATCTTCATTAAAGGTACGTGTCATGTATTCTATTGTTAGTAGAGTACATACTACAAACTGTGCATGTCTTCTTCAGTTTGTGTGCATTAAACTAAATATTTCATGTGGTAAATTTTTTTTTTTTCATACTTTTGGGTGTCTTGCACGGATTAATTTGATTTAAATTATTTCTTATGGGGAAAATTGATTTGCTTTCTGATAATTTTGGTTTACGATGAGCTCTCAGGAACGGATTAATATCGCAAACTGGGGGTCCACTGTACATAGTATTTATAGGTCCCAGCAATGTTTTGGATACGCGAGCATAATGAAAGTTCCCTTGAAGCATCATGTAAGATTGTGTCACTCGTCTTATCACTCCACTGCTGATGATGGTGACATCTGATGAGCTGGTCTAATCTTTCTACCCCAGTGGTGACATTTGATGAGCTGGTCTAATCTTTCTACCCCAGTGGTGACATTTGATGAGCTGGTCTAATCTTTCTACCCCAGTGGTGACATTTGATGAGCTGGTCTAATCTTTCCACCCCACTAATGACAGTGGTGACATTTGATGAGCCTTCCCTTTATTTGTTTTCAGTGTTTCACATAAACATGTCTGTGTCTATCTGCATCTAGCTTTCTGCCTATCTAGCTCTCTGTCCATCTTTCTAGCTGTCTGTCCAGCTGTGCGTGTCTAGCTCTGTCTATCTGTCTGTCTAGCTCTATGTATCTGTATCTCTGTTTGTCTAGCTCTGTGTATCTGTCTATGTCTGCCTGTGTGTTTCTGTCTGCTTCTCTCTCTTGTTCCAGAGTTGCTCATGGACCAACTGCTATTACAAATGATCACTATCTACAAACACAGTATAGCAATTTGTTTGGATTTTTGGGGGGTTATCCTAGGTAATTTACACTATGTATAATTGTATTTATGTATGTGTTCCTGTGAGACAGAGACAGAGATAAACGGATACACACAGACAGAGAGATGGCGATAGACAGCCAATCAGCCAGCCAGCTGGCCAGCCAGGAGGCCAGCCAGCCACCGGCCAGCCAGGTAGCCAGCCAGCCGCCAGCTAGCCAGCTGGCCAGCCAGCCTGCCGAAATTACAGTTCCAGAATGTTTCTTTTTACTTAGGGCATAGGTTATAGGACATTCTGGCAGGATGTTAATACGACATGACATCAGAGAATCCTTGGTGTTTGCTGCACTGTTTGCTCTAGCTGGCGCTCAACTGAACTGGTGCTCCCACGAGGTACTAAGTGGTCCCAGATTTTTTTAATAGTGTGCACACCGAGGGTTAAGACCCATTCTATGCTGACCAGGCATCTTAGGCCAATCGTGCCAAATTTGGAGACAGCAAAAATTAAATGTAGGTCTACGTTTGGAGCACTAGCGGTAAGAACACAGGGTTTACTGCCATCACAGTCTCTCCTGTTAATGCTACACAAGCACATTATAGAGAATGAACATTGAAAGAGGCCTTCTCTATCCAGCCTCCAATAGAAATATTTGTCTAACCTATTTTTATGTTTCCCAAGTAATAGCTTTTATATCCTTTTACTCATGTGCAAGTTAATTGTTCTAACATTGTATTACTACTATTAGTACTACTACTACTTACATCACTACTACCACCACCACTAGTATTGCACCTCACTCTTAACCTATATATACCCTCTGTGTCCATGTACTGTTTGTAACGGCTTGACAAAGCTCCTGGAGAGCAAAACGTTGCCACAATAAAATGTCACATTAGTTGCACTTGTGTCCTTTTACTGTACATATTGTCGGTAATTCTACCAACTTTATTACAATTTGTTAATACTTTTGGGTATCTGGAATGGATTAATTGGATTTACATTATTTCTTGTGGGGAATATGGTTTTGGTTTTCATGAATTTTGGTTTTTGGCAGACTCTGGAAAGGATTAATCATGAAAACCTAGGGTCCACTATACCGTAAACTACTGTATAAATATTTAAAAGTATACCAGAAATGTTATAACTGGTGCAAAGGTGACATTAAAACAATATTACAGCTGGCTGACACAAACCCACTACCATTATAGTATGCTCCTAACTTAGCAATGAATTAGTTTACCAACGTGGTCTTAGGAATGGAACTCCGTCCTTAAATGAGGAGAGGCTGTATTAAACAAATTCATGGATAATAAAGCATTCAAATTAACATACTATCTTACCCTGATTCTTTGAAGCGAAGATATGTGATGTATGACTTGCAATAGCATTGGAAGAATTAGCTCGACAAGGTTCCTTGAGAATATTGTAAAAGTTAACCCCATTAGTTACATTCTCTATTAAATTTTCTGTCTCGCCCCAGAGTTCTGTGGCTGGTCCCAGCTTTCCTGCTTTAACAGCATCAGATACTTCCTGGGCCTTGTTATTGACCTTCGTCAGGCCAGCAGAATCAATCAAGGACTGCAAGAAACATTGAAATAAAAAAACAAATTCATTTCAAGTTCATATAAACTCTTATAAATTATTTGTTGTAAGCACTGTAAGACTGCCTTCATCCATTTGTATTTTTATTAGTTTTGTGACATAGCAGTGACAGTTAATCCTTTCAGGGTCCAAGGCCCAAATCTGGAGTCACGCACCAGTGTCCAAGAATTTAAAAAAAAAAATTTTGTTATTTTTTCTTATGAAATCGTAGAGAATCTTTTTGTGAAGGTAATAAAACAAAAAGTACGAAATTTGGTGGAAAATTGACGAAATTATGCTCTCGCGAATTTTGATGTGTCAGCGATATTTACGAATCGGCGATTTTGCCGACTTTTGACTCCTATTTTAGGCCAATTACATTATTCCAATCAACCAAATTCTTAGCTATTTCACTAGTATTACTTCTATTCTATCGATTGAGCACAAGAAATCGCCAAGTCAACTGTTTCAACTACAAAATAAAGTGATCGGAAATTGTTAATTTGGCCAATTTAACACAAAGTTCAAAATATTCCAATTTCAAAATAGGGTCCAGAATAAACAATGTAGGCATTCCTGGCACTAAACTAACATTTCCTCTGTTCATTAGTTATGTTTTGAGGCTTTACAAATAAATTCCATTTTGATTTTTTATTCACATAATGAATTTTTATTCACACCAAAAAATAGAAGATTTACTGTTATGCAATACTGTAATAATTGTATAAATATCATCACCATATTTGTGAATGTATATTAGACCCACCAGCTGACGTGTATTAGATGTGTGAGGTCGTTTGTTTACTCTTGAATATCGGCAAAAATTTAACATTTCCGCTATTTTGAGCTCAGTTTCAAGCCATTTCCAGTGCTAAAACCAATCAAAATCATCTCTATTTCTGTAATATGTCTTCCATTCTATCAAATGAGACCAAGAAATCACAAATACAACTATAAAAAACATACGAAAAAACACTGCAAAGTTGCTGTTTTAATCGAAAAATCATGATTTCAGTTTTTTTCTCTCATTATACACAGTGTGCTGCAGGATCTGTTTTATGTGGTGCACACATACCACATAGATGTATTCTCTCATATCTAGGCCCAAATGTACCACTCACAGTTTATCAGAGTGAGCTGAGCTCATGGCGTAGATCTACGGTTTGGACACTCACCATAAAGCCGTAGATCTACGGGACGGACCCTGAAAGGGTTAATTCCATCTGGTTGATTGTTTTACATACCAGAAATAGTACCGATCCTAGGACTAAAACTGTAGGGATGCATTATATTCTTGGCCAATCTCATGCTCTCTTCACCATTATTGCATCTGTTACCAGTTTATATATATATTTTTTTTTCAACAAGTTGGCTGTCTCCCACCGAGGCAGGGTGACCGAAAAAAATACTTTCATCATCATTCAACACTTTCACCTCACTCACACAATCACTGTCTTTTCAGAGGCACCCACATACAACAGTTTAGAAGCATATACTGCATAACATACCCCTCGAAACTGCCAATATCCCAAACCCCTCGTTTAAAGTGCAGGCATTGTACTTCACATTTCCAGTACTCAAGTCTGGCAATATAAAAATAACCGGCTTCCCTGAATTCCTTCACTGAATGTTACCCTGCTCACACTCCAACAGCTTATCAGGTCCCAAAAACCATTCATCTCTATTCACACCTAACACGCTCACACATGCTTCCTGGAAGTCCAAGCCTCTCGCCCACAAAACCTCCTTTACCCCCTCCCTCTAACCTTTTCTAGGATGACCCCTACCCTGCCTTCCTTCCCCTACAAATTTATACGCTCTCCAAGTCATTCTACTTTGATCCATTCTCTCTAAATGACCAAACCACCTCAACTCCTCTTCAGCCCTCTGACTAATTTCCACACATTGAATTCTTTGCATAATATTTACACCACACATTGCCCTTAGACATGACATATCCACTGCCTTCAGCTGCCTCCATGCTGCAGCATTTACAACCGAAGCTTCACACCCATATAAGTGTTGGCACCACTATACTTTCGTACATTCCCTTCTTTGCCTCCATGGATGACATTTTTGTCTCCATGGAGGCACCACTCATCTTTTTTCTTTCATCAATTCTATGGTTAACCTCATCCTTCATAAACCCATCCACTGACAACTCCCAAACATCTGAAAACATTCACTTTTTCCATACTCCCTCTCTCCAATGTGATATCCAATTTTTCTTTATCTAAATCATTTGATACCCTCATCACCTTACTCTTATCTATGTTCACTTTCAACTTTCTACCTTTACACACCCTCCCAAACTCATCCACTAACCTTTGTAACTTTTCTTTAGACTCTCCCATAAGCATAGTATCATCAGCAAAAAGTAACTGTCAACTCCCATTCTGCATTTGATTCCCCATAATTTAATCCCACCCCTCTCCCCAACAACCTAGCATTAACTTCTTTTACAACCACATCTATAAATATATTAAACAACCATGGTGACATTATACATCCCTGTCTAAGACCTACTTTTACTGGGAAGTAATCTCCCTGTCTCCTACACACCCTAACCTGAGCCTCACTATCCTCATAAAAACTCTACAGTATTTAGTAACTTACCACCTATTCCATACACTTGCAACATCTGCCACATTGCTCCCCTATCCACTATCATATGCCTTTTCTAAATCCATAAATGCAATGAAAACTTTACTACCTTTATCTAAATACTGTTCACATATATGCTTCAATGTAAACACTTAATCTACACATCCCCTACCCACTCTAAAGCCTCCCTGCTCATCCGCAATCCTACATTCTGTCTTACCTCTAATTCTTTCAATAATAACCCTACCGTACACTTTTCCTGGTATACTCAGTAAACCTTTTCCCCTATAATTTTTACAATCTCTTCTGTTCCCCTTCCCTTTATAGAAAGGAACTATACATGCTCTCTACCAATCCCTAGGTACCTTTCCCTCTTTCATACATTTATTAAACAAAAATACCGACCACTCCAACACTATACCCCTGCTTTTAACATTTCTGTTATGATCCCGTCAGTTCCAGCTGCTTTACCCACTTTCATTCTACATAATGCCTCATGCACCTCCCCCACACTCGCATCCTCTTCTTCACTCCTAAAAGATGTTATACCTCCCTGGCCAGTGCATGAAATTACCGCCGCTCTTTCTTCATTGACATTTAAAAGTTCCTCAAAATATTCCCGCCATCTACCCAATACCTCCAGCTCCCCATCTACTAACTCCCCTACTCTGTTTTTAACTGACAAATCCATTCGTTCCCTAGGCTTTCTTAACAGTTTATATATCCGATTTATATATCAGGCCCTAGTGGAAAGCTGTGTGTATACAGGTCTCCATATTTATGTAAAGCATAAATATGTACCAAGGATCAGAGTGTATCTATGTAACTGGTTCCCAGGTGCCCCATTTACGAGTGTAAATGCTTGACAATGCAAAGTTAGGAGCCACCTGTCTATAAAATGCAGTCTAATACTGCATGTAGTATTAAAAGGATCTGCTACTAGTGTCTCTTAACAGCTCCTCAAAATATTCCCTCTATTTTTCTAGTTCCTCCACCTTCCTATCCAACGTTTTTTTTTTTTTTTATCTGCTAAGCCCATTTGGTTCCCAGGTTTTCTCAACTTGTAATCTTCCTCCAAAACAGTTTCTTATTCTCAACAAAATTTGCTGCCAAGAACCTCATCCATTCTCTCATTGGCTTTCCCTCATCATTCTTTTTTTAACCTCTCCGTACATCATTTTTACATTGTAAACACCTCTCATACATTTTTTTCTCCCTTACCACCCTCTCTACTTCATCAATCAACCAAGCATTCCTCTTCCTGCATGCACCCACCCTCCTATACCCACAAACTTTTGCTGTGCATTCTAGCACTGCATTCTTAAATGTACCCCATACCTCTTTTTTAACTTCTCAAGTCGTTTATATCTTCCTTTAACCGTTTCCTCCTCTAGTTCACTTACTTTCACCTCTTTCTTATCCACTAATGACATTACCCTTGTACTCCATCTATTTCTTATTCTCACTGTAGCTACCATTAAATATCTGCCACATCACTTCTAAAAACACGCATCCAGAAGTCTATCCAATAACCTTTTTATACACTAAAACAATCAAACATACTTCTGTTATTGCTCCCTGCATATCTTGTATACATATTTCTTTTTTTTTTTCCTCCTTCAACCAAGTACAGTACTATTACCAAAATACTTTCTATACATAATTCAATTACAAAACTAATAACAATACAGCTGATTTATGCATAAACTATGAAAAATCATTTCCCTCAGAGATTCATTTTTAACCCTTGAAAAGAGAGAATAAAACATTAAAAATCTAAATCATGCTGAAGTATCATACTTGCTATCACTCAGTAAAGACCATCTTCCATGTTTAGCAAACAATAATAATACCGTGGCATAGAGGTAGGATCCCCATGAGAGAACAGCATCAACAGGGGACACCCAAGAATCTCCCAGAGCAACTCCAGCCAACTGGCACCTTATTTTCTTCTGTAGAACTGCCTGTTGATAGAACGAGAACATTTGTATATATATTAAGTGAGCAATTGAGCTAGGCCTAAAAATGCATACACAGTACACACACATATTTTAAAATATTTTCATCCTTAGCTCATAGTGAGTGGTGAATATATTTATTGTAAGAAGTCTGAATAAATGAAGAATGTGTACAACTGAAAACCACTGCACTGGTAAAATGCAGTAAAGTGAAGCACTGTAAAGCAGGACCTGCCTGTATTAAACATTTCCTAAGCAAATTTATTCTAAATATAAAAAGAGTAACATTTAAACTTACAAAGTATAGTAAAACCTGATTTATCAGACTTCAGTTTGATGCATTTTGAACTTAACAGTGTATGGACAGTTCAGAAATAGCAGGTTTCGTCTATCAAATTGAGAATTATGCATTACTGTTGTGATCACAGAAAAACATCATCATTAATCTGACTGAAGGGACCAGCAGCATTAGCAGGCACCCCTCTTCCCTCTACTAATCCATTAAATCAAGTTGTCACTGTATAGTATTGTGCTTTGATTTCAGTAGTCCTGAGGTGAGAATAAGACAAGATAAGATTTCGTTCGGATTTTTAACCCCGGAGGGTTAGCCACCCAGGATAACCCAAGAAAGTCAGTGCGCCATCGAGGACTGTCTAACTTATTTCCATTGGGGTCCTTAATCTTGTCCCCCAGGATGCAACTCACACCAGTCGACTAACACCCAGGTACCTATTTGCTGCTAGGTGAACAGGACAACAGGTGTAAGGAAACGTGTCGAAATGTTTCCACCCGCCGGGAATCGAACCCAGGCCCTCCGTGTGTGAAGTGGGAGCTTTAGCCACCAGGCCACCTGCCACCAGGCAGTTTCCATCACCCTGGATCAGTTTCATGTTACAATTAAACCATTCTTATGGCTTGCCTACTGTGGAAAATTAAAATTACCTGGATGAATCTCATTAGATACATACCAGTAATTTAATAAAAGTAACAAAGATAATTATTCTTTATCAAGGTTACAGAGACATGTAGGAATTTTAGGACATCCTAGGTTGCAAAAAATGTCCCCCTTTGATACCTACTACAATCTCTTATTTCCACAAGTCACTCTGGACCTATGTTAATTTCAACTGAAATATACATCACCAGGAATTCTGGTAAAACAATAATATATATATGTGGACTGTATGTTAAATTTAATAAATGACTACATATACATTGAAGGAGAATTTATAATAACTCACCAATTTGTCTGGAGATTACTTGGTGTGTCATACATAAACCCCTGCCTAAAATATGAAGAAAATACTGGCCAGAATTTTAACAAACAGACATCACCTGGGTTAATTTAACCCTTGGAGGGTCGACAGGCCCTCTCCGAGACTCGTTCTCAGGGTCGGCCAAATTTAAAAAAAAAAATTAGTTTTTCTTATGAAAAGATAGAAAATCTTTTCCCGATCATAATGACACCAAAAGTATGAAATTTGATGGGAAAATTACGGAATTATGCTCTTGCGAAGTTAGCGGTCTCGAAGATGTTTACGCATCGGCGATTTTGCCCACTTTGAGCCCTATTTTCGGTCAATTCCAATGTATTAGTCGACAAAAATCATAACTATTTCGCTAGAACTCCATTTTTTTCTATCGAATGAGTACAAGAAACCACCCATTTACCAATTTCAACTATCCAATAAAGTGGTCAGAATTTAGCAATTTTGCCAATTTCACACAAATTTCAAAAGATGCCAATTTCCAAATAGGGTCCAGAATAAACAAGAAAGACATTCCTGGCACTAAAATAACAAGCTCTCTGTTTGTTAGTCACGTCCCCAGGCCCCTCTTATATTTCTTTGGCTTTCCAAAGAAATATTTTTTTTATTCTTACAAAAAATAGAAGATTTACTGTTATGCAGACTGTATTAGTGTAGAAATGGTATAAATAATATCAGCACACTTGTGAAAGAATATTAGACTCACCAGTTGACGTGTATTGGACGCTTGGCATGATCTGTTTACTTTTGAACTTTGATAAAAATCGAACATTTCTGCTACTTTGCGCTCAATTTCAAGGTACTTTTCATTGTAAAACCAGTCAAAATCATCGCAATTTCTGTAATATGTCTTCCATTCTATAAAATGAGACCAAGAAAACTAGAATACAACAAATACCATACGAAAATACAGTGCAAAGTCGCTGTTTTATTCCAAAAATATAGTCAAAGTTTTTTTTTTCTCATTACGCACTGTGCTGCAGGATTTTTTTTTATACTGCGCACACTGACCACATAGACCCATTCTTTCATATGTAGGCCTACCAGCTTTCTCTCACTAGATTTGAGGGCGCTAGAATTTAGGCGTACTAGTACGTCAAAAACCCTGGTGTGCAAGCCGTACTAGTACGTCCGAAACCCTCAAAGGGTTAATCCTGTTCCCATCTAATTACGGAGTCCTGTCCAGTCGCCTAATTCTCACATTCTTCAGGACTGCAAATCCAACAATTTTTGCTCCTATTTGAGAGGTTTCAACCACAATTTAACCTCTAGAGCGACAAAAATTCTTCCAATTCTTCCTTATGTTTCTCATGCCCAGTTCAAAACAATAGCGACCTCTCCCTTCCCCAGCGACGCTCCCACTCTCGCTGGTTTTTTTTTTTTTTTTTTTTTTTACAAATTAATTTTTATTAAATACAATATATTTCATCAATTTACATACAAAATGCACTATATTTTTGGAAAATATACATTATTTTCCACATCTACACCCTTGCTCCATTCCTGGAAATCTTGCCTTCTTTTCTTTCTTTTTTTCCCAGAAAAGTTCCAGAAAACTAATGAATATGCCATTTCAAGCACAGACAATCAATAATTCTCTAAAGTTAAAAGAATGTTTCTCAAGATTATCAGAGATACACAAAAAGCATATTTAATATCTCCTTGTAATGTAAATAACCCAATGACAACTGGAATTTTTTTTATAGACCTGTTGAACTATCATTCACAAATTACCTTCATTATTTTTGAAGTGACACTTAGTAAAAATAAGCCATACACAGGAGAACTATTTGTTCAACATTACTCACTTTATTGAGAGAGACTGCAAACTGGGCTGCCATTTTTCCACCATAGGACTCGGCAAATATGTAGAGTGGGACAGTCTGAAACTCTGGAACCTGTGCAAATCAAAACAAAATTTAAATGGCAAGACATTACAAGTCATTACCTTAAAATATAAGTATTAAACCTATATGGGTTATACAGCACTGCAGTGTAGGGATATACAAGGGAAGGTGTTAGTGCAGCTGTGGGTGACTAAGGGTGCAAAATTAATGTGAAAGTTGATGAAATACGTGCTTCTTTCAAAAAGCCAGAGATAAGTTTGCAATGAAGGTAGGACCAGTGGCGTTGTAAGGGGGGAAGCGCCCCGCGTGACACCAAGGGGTGACACCACAGAGCCTCTAAAGAAGTTGACAAATGCCCAAAACAGTGCTGCAGCAACATAAGAGGAAAATCTTAGTACAGTGGACCCCCGGTTAACGAACTTTTTTCATTCCAGTAGTATGTTCAGGTGCCAGTACTGACCGAATTTTTTCCCATAACGAATATTGTGAAGTAGATTAGTCCATTTCAGACCCCCAAACATACACGTACAAACGCACTTACATAAATACACTTACATAATTGGTCGCATTTGGAGGTGATCGTTAAGCGGGGGTCCACTGTATATGGCCTATTATATGATTACAGAGTACAAATAGGCCTATATAGGGAAAATCATTGATTCTGATGATGTGATAGATGATTTTGCAGGATTGAAGGCAAGGAAATATAAGATTAGATTTATTGAGATGTTATCTGTACTCAAGGTCAAATCAGAACTAGTGTTTCTCTGATATTGCAATGTTTTTCGTTATTTTTCAAGTTTTTTTTTTTTCACTGTTGAAGACTAATAAATGTAGGATCTGTTGCTGTCCTCAAAGTGGTATTTGAGTTTATGTTTCCTCAATATTACCAAGATTATTTATCATTAACCCCTTGACTGTTGCAACCCCCAATCCTCAGGTGTCTCCTGGTGTCGCCAAATTTAAAAAAAAAAAAATTATTTTTTCTTATGAAATGATAGAGAATCTTTTCCCGATTGTATTGACACCAAAAAAACGAAATTTGGTGGATTATTATTATTATTATAATCAAAAAGAAGCGCTAAGCCACAAGGGCTATACAGCGCTGCAGGGTAGGGAAGGAAGCAAGGGAATTGGATGGCAGAAAGGAGGGGGGATGATCAGCAGGTTACAGAAAACAGCGGGGCAGGGGATAGTACGGGGGTAGAGGGTAGCAAGAGATTCAAGTAGAAAGGGCTGAAAGTATCAGAATTTGTGAAGTAAGTCAGTTGTTGTCAAAAAGTCAATGAGAGAGTCCGGATGAAAGGTGGGTCCATCAGCGAGAAGGGAAGGTAAAGAGAGAGCAGCGGGGCGAAGACGACGACAGAGGTAAATTCTGCGTGCTCGTTGATAAAGTGGGCAGTCCAACAGAATGTGGCTGACTGATAATGGAGCTTGGCAATTCTCACAGAGAGGAGCAAGACGCCTCTCCATGAGTATATCCATGAGTAAGACGAGTATGGCCAATGCGAAGACGGGAGAGAGTAGTCTCCCAACCTCGACACTGGTGATAAGAAGACGGCCAGTAACCTATACTCGGTTTATAGACTGAAGTTTGTTGCCGAGCATAGTAGACCAACGTTGTTGCCAACGGGTGTGAAGGTGGGAAGATATTACAGCAAAATAGTCCGTACATGGAATACCTCTATAAGAAACTGGTAGGTCATGTACTGCTGCGCGCGCAGCAGTGTCTGCCTGTTCATTGCCCTGTACGTCAACATGACCAGGGACCCAACAAAAAACAATATCTTTATGCTTAGTAAAGATGCGGCGTAGCCAAAGTTGGATACGGAGGACTAAGGGGTGAGGTGTATCAAATTTTTGTATAGCCTGTAAGCACTAAGGGAGTCTGAGACAACCACAAATGATGACACAGGCATAGATGCAATACGGATAAGTGCTGTAGGATGGCATATAATTCAGCAGTAAAATACTAGCTGAAGATAGTAAATGCCCTTGTACGACGCTGTCCGGAAACACTGCTGCGAATCCTACGCCGTCAGAAGACTTAGAGCCATCTGTGTACACAGCAATGGCATGAGAATGAGAGTGAAAGTGGTCAAGAAAAGAGAGCGGGAAGCGACCGTAGACAGTTGGGCTTTCGAGCAAGGGAGGGAGAAAGAACAGACTCGAACAGCTGGAACTTCCCAGGGGGTAGGGAAAAGTGAGATGCTACATGCACATAGAAAAGGTGTAGTTGAAGAGAAGACAAGAGCAAATGAAGGCGAAGAGAGAAGGGACGGAGTAAGCAGGGGCGGCGAACAAATAAAGAATGTCTACTAATATCAGTGACCATTCTATAAATGGAAGGATTGCGGAGATCATGAGAGCGTACATAGTAGCGCAGGCAATGGGCATCACGGCGATCGGATAAGGATGGAACGTTCGCTTCTGCATAGAGGCTTTCGACAGGGGAAGAGCGAAAAGCACCAAGGCATAAACGTAATCCTTGGTGATGAATGGGGTTAAGGCTAGAGAGAGTAGCAGGAGATGCCGCTGAATAGATCTGGTCACCATAATCAAGTTTCAATAAAATAAGGGTGGAATGTAGGTGAAGGAGGGTTCGACGATCAGCTCCCCACGAAAGATGAGCAAGGGTTTTAAGAAGGTTCAGCCGGCTGTGACAAGTTGCCTTCAGAGAGGTAATGTGAGGTTTCCAGGATAACCTACGATCAAAGAGGAGGCCCAGAAACTTGACTGTATCACGTTCAGGGATACGGGAGCCATAGAGGTACAAAGGATGATCGGAGATGACAGAGCGTCTAGTGAAAGTGATTTGGTGGGTTTTAGTGCTGGAAAATTTAAACCCATGTGTGGTGGCCAATTGGAAACACGGTCGACTGCATGCTGGAGAGAAACTGTAAGGAGGTGACAGTCAGCGCCTGCACAGGCAATAGCGAAGTCATCAACATAGAGTGATGACCAAATATTTGATGGAAGACTAGAGGCCAAATCATTAATAGCAAGGAGAAAAAAGTGTTGTGCTTTAGAACACATCCCTGGGGGGACACCTTCAGCTTGGATAAAGTCCGGGAGAGCACATTATTAACCCGAACACGGAAATGCCTGTCAGTTAAAAAGTTCTTAAGGAAGGATGGTAGATTGCCTCGAAGGCCTAAGGAGTGGGCTTGGGCTAAAATATTATACCTCCAAGTTGTGTCATATGCCTTCTCAAGGTCAAAAAATATGGCAATAACTGAGTGGTTATTCGCAAAGGCATTACGAACATACGTATCCAAGCGCAGTAAGGGGTCTATGGTAGAACGTCCCTTACGAAAGCCATATTGACGAGTGGAGAGACTGTTGTGTGTCTCTAAATACCACACTAAATGTCTATTTACTAGACGTTCCATTACTTTGCAAACTGCACTGGTAAGAGCAATGGGACGATAGTGGGAGGTTTCATGTCCCGTAGTGCCTGGTTTGCGGAAAGGGAGAACAATGGCGGATTTCCCAGCTGTGGAAGAACTCCTTGTGACCAAATAAGATTGTAAAGGCGTAATAGGACTGCAAGGGCTGACTGATGTAAATGTTGTAGCATACGAATATGAATGTCGTCGGGCCCAGCTGCGATGATCGACAAGCTGAGTGTGTTGCCTCCAGTTCTTGAAGTGTAAAAGGCACATTATACTGTTCTCTCTGAGAGAAGAAAAGTCCAAGGGTGCTAACCTCTCTGGCAGACTTTGAGGAAAAGAAATGAGGGGCATAGATGGAGTCCCTGAGAAATACGGACCAGATGATTGCCAATTTCATTGGCAACATCTAGTGGGTTTGCTATATCAACACCGGCAACCCGCGAACAGGAGCCGGGTCAGGAGAATATTTACCACTCAGTTTTCGTACTTTTTTCCAGACTGCACTCTAGAGGAAGCAGAGGTGATGGTGGAGACAATCTTGCCAGCAAGTGCGTTTAGCGTCACGGATGACACGGCGAGCGATCGCACGCTTCTGTTTAAAATCAAGGAGTCGCTCTGTGGTTCTATTGTACCGGTACCTGCCCCATGCAGCGCGTTTCAACGTACTGCACGAGCACAAGCAGGAGACCACCAAGGCACGCATTTCTGAGAATGCCTGCCCGAAGTTTGGGGTATAGAATGAGAAGCTGCGGTGAAAATGGAGGACGAGAAGAGGTGTAAAAGCTCATCGATGGAGGACGAAGAAGGAACCTCTTTAAAAACAGTCAGGTGTGAGTAAAGGTTCCAATTTGCCCGATTAAATTGCCAGCGTGGGGTGCGAAGAGGTGGCGAATATGAAGGGAAGTAAGATGATTGGGAAATGATCACTGTCATGTAAGTCCGGGAGAACAGACCAAGTGAAGTCTAATGCGGCGGAGAGGAAGAGCAAAACTGAGAGATCGATGCAAGAGAGAGTATGAGTCCGAGGATCAAAATGGGTGTGAGTACCTGTATTTAAAACATGGAGGGGGTGGGTGGCAAGAAAAGCCTCTAACTGAATTCCACGGGAATCACAGTGAGACCCCCCCCCAGAGAAATGGTGGGCATTTAAAAATCACAAGTAACAGAATCGGTGGCGGTAATGACGAAACAAGGAAGGCAAAATCCGGATAGATAATGCCCGAGAAGGAGAGAGATATAAAGAACAGAGCGTATACCACCTATGTAAGTGGATACGGGCTGCTGTGTAATGCAGCGAAGTATGAACAAATAGCTGATGGTAGGAATATCAGTGCGGAGAAGAAGGGCACTTTCATTAAAGGTCCCATCAGGAAAAGGATCTGAAGATACAATAAATTATAGCCTGAGATGTGAGAAATAACAGCAGAGTGTAATTTTGGTTCCTGTAAGCAAACACCAACAGGGGCAAACTGGGAGAGTAACATCTGAAGCTCACCCCGATTACCCCTGAGGCCGCGTATATTCCACTGTAAAAAGGCCATGATTGGCAATGATAAAGATACTTGAAACGCAGGTAAGGGTTCCTACGGACTAGAAGGGTTAGAAAAGTCACATGCGGAGGCAGTGGAAAATGTTCAAGCAGCGAAGGAACGGTGCGCTGTGAAGAAAGGAGTTGCGCAGATGGAGCAGAGGAGAGAGAAAGAGCGGAAGGTGGATCAGTGT